GAAGCAGGTTTTTGTGGTCTGAACAGTGAGACCTCGGGTTCATAAGCTCTACCCTCTTGACTCACCGCTGAAGGAACGATTAACACTGTAGCGTGACGTGAATAAATATGTTAATTTTTTTAAGGGTGGTGCTTAAGCAGACTTACAAAATAAAGGAAGCATGTCTAATTTTTCCTCAGGGAAATTACCCTGGCATTACACTCATCCCTGGTTACAGTGGAGAGGGAGTGAGATGGTCATAAACACATTTTATCGCCCAAGTAGAAGACAAAAAAAGTCAAGGGCGTGTGTCCGACACTCTGTCAGTTCCATAAATGTTTTGAGATATAAATGACTTACACGGTCTTATAAAACCTCCCCGGGTGTTATTTTTACAGCTCATGTCTACTCTGACTGACATTGACACAATCTTAATCATACATACGTAAACGTCAACCGTCGCCAGTAGGGGGCACAAGAAAATATAGCTGTGCATTTGAATGAATTGTTTGTGTGTAAAAAAAAAAAAAAAAAGCAGGTGGATTAATGATTTGAGTGCACGTCCATGTTTCTGATTGAAGTCTGGATCTCCAGGGACTGAACCAGACCAACACTGTACCACTGCCTTAATTAGCAGGTCTAGTTGGAATCTACAGGAGGGATTAAGCCTCTCCATCACTGCCCCCTCCACCCCCCCAGAATAAATTATATCGACTTCTAAACCCTGAGAAACAGATGATGGCGGGTGTCACTTTTGACGTATTGATTTGGCTGCATTAGCTAATGCACCTGTGGACGACACCGTCCACTGACGTAAAACATTCTCTCCATATTTGCTGGGACAGCAGAATGTAACTGAGAAGGAACATTGACTAATGCTGGCCTGAGTGACATATATCCTCGAAAATCATGGAGAAATCTCGGCTGCGGTGACATGTTCCGAGGTAGAGGAAGATGAATGTTTGTTTAAAAACGATTTTGTCAGGTAATGCTGCGAAAGATATGAGTTATGAGAGTTAAATAATGTTCAAATAACACCCTTCCCCACTCCCTCAGCCCCTCAGCCCCGTGTCCCCCGCCTCCCATTAACAAGCCGTAAACTCGGTGGCGTTGTTTTGACTAATGAAGAGACTTTCCTCGACTACACTGACATTTTGGACAACTTCTGTCTGAGACAGAAATGGATGAAACTGTGGTGAAGGATGGGGGAGTTGTTGTCACTTTGACAGGCGTCTGTCTCCTGCTGCACGTCCGCGTCCTCTGGCTATGCAGGAGTAAAATGACAAACCATGTGAATTGTTGTCCACACTAGGGTTAACGCGGTTTTCAAATGGTCTCTGTGCTTGTTAGCAGTCGGAGCTGTCACCCGTGACGCCTGTGTCTGTTGTCTATGTATGGAATACTGCGGAATTTGATTGATCTTGAACAGAAAGTAGAGGATTAAGTTAGATATAGTCGACTGAATCTTACTGCAACTACTGCTCGAGATCCTTTAAGAATTTTGGTAAGTTTGTAAAGATTTCAGTGATTTAAACAGACTTGACTAAGCCGTACGGTGGAGCAGTGGCTAAGCTGTTGCCCGTTACTTGTACCGTGCACTCGTTTCCCACTGCAGTAGTAATGATAATATATTATAAATAATTGTACTGTATATTATTATATTATATTAAAATAATGGTTCCCATAAAGGGTTGAGGTTTGATCAGGAATTTTTTTTTATCATTGCTTTAGTTTGCCATTGATGTAAATCCAAATAATATGATTTATAAAAAAGTAAGTTTTCCTTATTTATCACTAAAACTTTCTGCCCTCATTGGTTTTGCCTCTGTTTGCACTGAGGAAAAAACTAGAGCAAACATTTCTGAAAACTGTGAAACAAAAGAAAACAGAAAAAGAAATGAATGTTTGAAGTTTCTGTTCATTTTATTTTCCATTTCACCAGAAAGAGTCAAAGTTGGTTTATTAAAGTAGAAAAGTCTCCTCACAGGCTGGAGTTTGGGATGTAGTGTGTTGGACTGAATATGAATCTGAGCACAACCAGTGATAAAAACTCTCCGGGGAAACGTTACCTTTTTATCACTAAGGCAACATAAATGCAACTTTAAGAATCTTCAGTGAAAAAAAAAATACAATTTCTTTTTACACCTTGAACTTAATCTTCAGAAGAACAAAGTGGGTGATTTTGGTTTAATTTTTAAGACCTGTAGTTTGTAGCAGTGACAAGATTTATCTCTTTATTTGACTTGGTTTTTAAGTGTGGAAATAGATTGTAGTGGAGTCTCAGCAGCACAGATAGAAATAAACCTCTTGTACTCATCGTCGTCGTCCACTAAGAAAAGACGTGTCTATGAATTAATCACATTTAAAAGGTGGAAATGAAACATCAGAACTGCGTCTTCTTCAAATGAGGGATAGGTTTGTGTTCCAGACGGGCTGTTAATAAAGTGTTGACTTGATGTCTTCCTCAAATGAGGGATAGGTTTGTGTTTGCTGTTCCAAACGGGCTGTTAATAAAGTGTTGACTTGATTATTTTGGATATTTGAACTTTAGCAGTTGACACTGCATTAACACACTACTGCCATATAATAGTTAACAATGTTCCTGCAGCCCCACATTAGCAGAAGATCCTGACTCTCACTCATGGCTGCTGGAGGAGACAGAAGGAAGAGCAGATTTTAGGCACTAAATAAAAGCCTGTTTTAATTAAATCTGAAACCGCTCCAGACATTGATATTTTAGGAATATCGTCGCTGCTTTATCACAGTGTTTAAACAGCCTTGACTGACTGGAGCAGTGTTTCCCAACACAAAATAGAACAAAAATATGTGTAATAAAATATAATGATCTTCTAGTTCTTTTTGTGTACCACGGCACAAAAATAGAACAAAAATATTTGTAATAAAATATAATGATCTCCTGGTTCCATTTCCTCAGTGTGAAACACGGGCCTGTTTAGTTGAACACTGTGTTTTTATACTCACAGCAGTTGAAGAGAGACGAACAGGAATGAAGATCTTCATTCCTTCTATTTTTTTTAGTTTTTAAAGCCATCTGCTGCCACATAGTGGAAGTCTGCAGCAGTTTTTGTTACTTTTGTGCAACAAACAAAAACATATTTGCAATAAATAAATAACAGTTTTGTCGAACACTGAAGTGAAATTGGATAATTTTCTACGGTACACATAATGATTTTGTCACAACGCAGTGGTTGGGAATTATTTCACGGTAGTTGGGAATCACTGGACTGCAGCTGGGATTTCTCCATGGAAATCTCAAAATGAAAAAATGTATGCTGTGTTTGTATGTAGTGCAAAAGGTGAGAAAAGTTAGTCATGACCCTTCACTCATTCTCCATTGGCACGAGGATTTAGGAAACATTTATTAAGTGGCTTAAATCTGATTTCTCTTTTTTTTTTTTCCTGTCCCAGACGTCAGCTCTTTTGTCGGTGAGAGTAAATATCTGGCTCCACGCCGGCTCCACTGAAAATGTGTCACACAAGTAGTCAGGTCACTGTTGACAAAGTGTGAGAAATTCTACAATGAAAACATCTGAAGTATTCAGCCAAAATGAGAGCAGGTGTGACGCTTCAGTACAGCAACTAATCATGATGAAAATCATCTGCCGTCTGTTGACTTCCTATTTTATTTATTTATTTATTTTTTGCATTAATTTAATTTATCCCTAAAGCAAGAACAGTGGGCTGCACTTCACTGCATGTGTCCACTAGGGAGTTTTTGGTGTCATCAGCCCTGCCTAAGGTCACTGTAAATCAAAGTGTAAAAAATGAGTTTGAGGGGAAATAAACATCAGAAACTTTCCACAATTGCATTGATTTGAATGAAAAAAAAACCATTTAATTGTAAGTGAAGGAAGAAAAAAATAATTTCATATGTGCATATGTGTGTGTGTGTGTGAGTGTGTGTGTATATGTGTGTGTTAGATCCATGCGTCCAGCTGAAACTGTAATGAGCTGCCAGCAGTAATTCAATCTGAGCCCTTAATCACACACACTGCTGTTCTGTCCACACCATATTTACCTTCTTTATTGTCTGTCTGTCTCTGTCTTTTAAAATGTTTATGGTTTTGTCTCATCTCATGTGATTTTTAAGGCTGTGTCCATATATGGTCTTTTTTTTTCTTTTAAAGGAAAGTTGTGGTGAGACATTTGTGAGAACTTTCACGTTACTTTGTCTCTCACATATTTTTATTTCCTGTGTTACAGCGTTAGGTGTTTGTTTCCTCTTCCTGTCTTGTGTCTCTGTCATTAGTCTTTAACTGGTGTCACCTGGTGCCCTGGGTACCAGGTGACACAGTACCTCTCTCCCTCACTCTGTCTGTGTGGGATCATTGGTCAAGTGTCTGGTCAGTTTGTGGTCAGTGTTTTGTAGTCCATGTTTTTTGGAGAAGACCACGCTTTGTTCCTGTGAGTTCTTGTTGTTATTCTGCAATTTGGAATTAAACCTGCTGCACCTGAAGGGAGTCTGCTGCGTTTGGGTCCTGCCTGCTTCCTGCGATGTCGTCACGTAACGTCCAGACCATTAACTGAGGTCTAATATGAACATTAATCTCCTCAAAGATACAGTTTGTTAATACGATCATTTTCCCGATTCATTATAAGAGCCAATATACAGAGAAAATGCATTAATCAAGAGCCTGAGCTCATTAAACGTCCCGGCTCCTAATATTTCCCTGTTTCCTGGCTCAGACCAGAGCTGGTATTAACATTCCCGCTGAGTGATCTGATCACATGCTGACAGTGTTTAGGGAATGTTTACACCTGGCATCAGAATGTGTCCTTCATGCGTTCCCTGTAATCACATTATATCCCATTTGTATTCACTGATCTGGTACCGGGATATACATAGATCTGAATCTGCGATCACAGTCTCTCACGCAGTATGTGTCCTTGTCTGTGGCTCGCAGTGCCGAAGTTAAAAATACCGTTGTAAAAAGGAGGATTACCAGTGTAGTAATTATTGCAGATAATTAACAACAACGTGTGTGGTTCTCTTTTTTTAGGTCCAGTGGCAGTGATTAGCGGGGAGGAAGACTCTGCTAGCCCTCTTCATCACGTCAACCACGGAATTATCTCCCCCTGTACTCTGGAGGCGGGCTCTGACGCCGTCGTCATAGGCATGACTCGTATCCCCGTGGTGGAGAACCCTCAGTACTTCAGGCACGGACACAACTGCAACAAGCCGACCACTCGTAAGTCGATTTCAAAACCCCTTTAAACTGATTCACTCAGACCTCATTTTTGCTTTGCTAATTATGCTAAGTGCGCCAGAAACACACTTTTTTACAGCGTCCACCATCTTGACTCAAAGACTCAGATACTTAGTGTGTCTTCACGAGGCCCTTTGGACTCATTTCATTTCATCTGTAGTGTATTTTTGATATTTTTCTAAGGGCCCCCAGGCTAAGCTGTCATCTAGGCTGGTGTGATGAGGTCGTGTTAGCATAAATATGGTGGCACACTTTGGAATTAGAGCCGCAGTTATGCATTATTTTGTATTTGATCGACGAAGACATTATGTACACAAGCGAAAAAAATATTAAAATGAAATTTTCATAGATTTAAA